CCTCAATTCCCAAGAAGTGGCAGAGTTTACCAAGATCTTTTGTCTGAAATTGATTCGAGAGATGTTATTTTAATTGGAGTATTCCATGTTGGTCACTAACAGTCATGACAATATCATCTACATATACAATAAGATAGATACACCTTTGAGCTGAGTGACGATAAAATACAGAATGGCCAGTTTCACTACAGACCATATCACACTGGTGTACTACAGTGCTGAATCTTCCAAACCAAGCTCTCAGAGATTGCTTAAGACTATAAAGAGACATGTGTAGCCTACAGACCATATTAGAGGACTCCCTTTGAGCAACAAACCCAAGTGGTTGCTCCATATATACTTCCTCTTCAAGATCACCATATAAAAAGGCATTTTTGATGTCAAGTTGATGAAGATGCCAATGTCGAATGGCTGCAATGGCTAGAAGGAGTCTAATATATGCCACCTTGGCTACAGGAGAGAAGGTGTCACTATAATCTAACCCAAAAGTCTGAGTGTATCCTTTGTCTACCAAGTGAGCTTTAAAACGATAAATCTTACCATCTGATCCAACCTTTACTATATAAATCCAATGACAACCTACTAAAGAATTCCAAAGGGTTAGAGGAATCAGTTCCCAGGTACCACTGCTTTGAAGAGAACACATTTCATCAATCATTGCTTGCCTCCACTCGGGGTGAGATAATGCTTCACCTGGAGATTTAGGAATAGAAACAGAAGACAAAGAGGAAAAACAAGTATACTGTAAAGGGGAAAGAAGATGATAACATAAATCAAGATAATATGGAGAAGGATTTTGTGTTTGACGTATACCTTTGTGAAGGGAAATAGAAAGATAAGACTCAAGTTGCATGATCGGATCCAATGACGGCGAAGGCGTCAGAGGAGAATCTTCAATGACCTTAGGGACATGTACTGCCTCAGGGATAGGTACGACAGGTGTGGGTTGGCGATGCTGATATGTTTGAAGTGGGCGAGAAGTGGGGGGTCAACCTTAGGGGTTTCTAGTGGGACATGTTCCCTAGAATGATGGGGGATAATGGGAAATGGGACTTCCGAAAGAGGTGTAAGAGTACTTTCCTGAAGGGGTTATGGAGTGACTTGGGTGGAATAAAAATATGGCACTAACTCGAAGAAGGTAACATCGGTCGAGACCAAGTATCATTATAGAGTGTGTGAGTAGCAATGATAACCCTTTTAGGATTGATGATAACCAAGAGAGATACACTTTAATGATCGAGCTGACAGTTTATCAAGACCAAAGGAGAGATTATGCACAAAACACGTAGACCCGAAGACTCGAGGAGGAATTGGGTGAAGAGGAGAGTTTGGAAACAGGATTGAATGAGGGATTTTATTATTAAGGACAGATGAGGGCATGTGATTTATGAGGTAACATGTCATCAGCATAACATCCCCCCAAACTGAAGAGACATTATCACGAATAAGTAGTGTCCAAGTGGTTTCTTCGAGATTTTAATTTTTGCGTTCGGTTACCCCGTTTTGTTGAGGTGTATGAGGGCAAGATGTTTGGTGCAGAATACCATTGGATGACCTAAAAGTTTGAAAATGTTTGGGTAAATATTCATGTGCATTGTCACTTCTTAAGGTACGAATGGACAGACCAAATTGGATTCTTATTTCTCGATAAAATTGTTCAAAAATAGAAAACAATTCAGATCAGTTCTTAATTAAAAATAACCACGTGCAACGTGAAAAATCATCAATAAACGTTACAAAATACCAAGACTCAAAAGTAGACACGGTACGCGATAGACCCCAAACATCGGAGTGAACTAAAGAAAAAGGGGACGCAACCTATTTATTGACTCGATCAGGAAAGTGACTACGAGTATGATTCCCTAAATGACAAGATTCACAATGTAAAGTGGATAATTTAGATAAACTGGGCGCCAAATTTTGTGTCTTGGGAAGACATGGAGGACCTAACTGCGCATGTATAATGTGTGGACAATTTATGGTGGAGCATGTGGTAGATGACGTAGAGAAGTAGTAGAGGCCTTGAGACTCACATCTGACGCCAATCGTCTTTCCCGAACTTCGATCCTGCGGGGTAACATTACTGTTAGTAAAAGTGATAGAACAATTAAAGGAACAAGTTATACGATTGACTGACAGGAGATTAAATGGGAAATTAGGTACATATAGGACATAAGTAACAAAGAGAGATGGTAGAATTTGAACAGTACCAATCCCTTGAGATCGGGTTTGAGAACCATTTGCGGCAGTTATACTCGGTAAAAAACCAGAGGTAGAAAGGGAAGAGAAATTATTTTTATTACCGGTAACATGATCAAACGCACCAGAATCGAGGACCCGAGGATCAAGAGGGGATGATTGAGAGACGCAAATAGATGAATTATCAATGTGTGCAATCGAAGCCATGGAACCAGAGATCTGGTTAGTCTGACACCACTTGAGAAAATCCCTGTAGCTTGGCGTACGGTTCTGAAGAGAAGGTGAAGTCTGCATAGTGTATGGGTTATCAATTTGAGTTGCATTTACCTGTCGTGGAGGTTTTCCATGCAACTTCCAGCAACGATCGGTAGTATGCCCAATCCGGTTACAATGGTCACACTTAGGACGAGGTTTGGAGTTGGATGACCCTCCTCGAAGGCGATTTTGATTGTTGCCAAGAGATACAAGAGCAGTGGTGTCACTTGGTGTTGGAGCAACAATAAATGAAGGGGGAAACTGGTCAAACGCATGAGGTGTAGCCAAGCGCAACAATTGTTCACTAACTATATCATAGTTATGAATAGTGGTACCTGATAAAATTTGGTTACGAACAGATTCGGGTTCTGATGGTAGTCCTTTATGTGCCATGACTATGAAATATTTACTCTGTTGTTTGGTATGAATTGTTGCATCTTTTGCGTAAGGCATGAGTGTTGTGTAACTTGCTTTCAAGGCATCAAGCTTACTCAAATAAGCTTGCACATTCATATTTTCCAACTTCAATGTGTTGAGTTTGTGGATGACATTGTATAGAGAATGAACGTCGTTGGAAAATACTTTCTTGGCCTTTTCCCACACCTCATAACAAGTGGAGAAGGTTTGGTACTCGCTTGGAGGTTAGGTGCTACAGAAAACCACAATACAATACACAGATAAGCATTTGTTTTCTTCCATTTAGCAAGTTTGGTTGTTGCAACGTCAGTCAATTTGGTGGTTAGATGTTCTTCATATCCCTGACGGCGAAACCATATATCGACAGCTCGAGCCCATATGTTATAGTTGGTTGATCCGATTTATTTTTCACATGGGATAAGAGAAACTTTAGTAAACGAGACAGAATCAACATCTCTCATGAGACTTAAAGAGATAACAAACGAGGTTGTTTGAACTAGAGTACGACTTTCTGTGAGTCAAAAACAGAAACTGAAGGCGGATCTGGAACCGAAGGAGGGAAGGGATATTCCGGTAAAAAAAATCGTGAACAGTGGCTGCGGCGATGAACAGTGGCGGCGACAGTGAACAGAAACGGTTGTTGATTTTCCGGAAGAAAGAAAATTGTGAACAGTGCGGTGACGAAGGTCGTCGGAAAAAAAATTAAAAGATGAGGCAAATCGGAATGATGACATGGTTTGCAGACAAAAATTTCTCACCGAAAGATAATGGATCAATCAGTAGCGTACGATGAAGATTTGTCTCTTAGTAGGCTCTCGATACTATATTAAATTAGGAGAGACTAATAGACACTTAGCTTAAACTGTGTGTTAAATAGCATAGCGTAAAACTATATATATATATATATATATATATATATATATATATATATATATATATATATATATATATATATATATATATATATATATATATATATATATATATATATATATATATATATATATATATATATATATATATATATCAACAGTATTAATTACATACTAAAAATATATTGATAGTGTCCTAAAATATACTAGAAAATATTCTAAGAATATTTTTATTCTATATACAAATATCAACCGTAGGTTTATTTGTCATTTCATATAACTTATCTTATAAAAAAAAATTAAAATATAAATGCATTATTAATAAAAGAGTGAGATCTAAATGATTATTTAATTTTTTTAAGTTTGAAATTTTGGTGGTCATGATACTCAATATTATAGATTAAATATTGTTAAAAATATATATTTATTATAAAGGAATAATTTCTAAATCTATTGTGTCAAATTTTGAAATTTTTACCATGAAATTTATTTAAAATAATAAATAAATAAATCATGTTTATGAATCTCCGTATGAACTTTAGAGATCCATAAGGATCCACAGAGAAGGGGGACAAAATCCTCAACAGGGATGGTAAATAGAATCGAAGGTGAAGATTAAGATGAGAATATATCATCCGTCCCACTAGCATCCCTAACCATTGTCCCTAAACTACAATTTTCAAAAATACTCTCTTTGACTAAATTTATAAATAAAAAAAAATCACTTTTTAAATTCATTGAATAGTTAATTTATCTAATTTAAAAAGTGAATCTATGTTATAATTTAAGACAGAGTACTTATTTTTTATCCTCGTACAACAGCAGACCAAAGACATACTACTATTTAATAAATATGTTCGATTAATCAACAGGGCAAAAAAAATTAAGGTAATTAGTTTTAGTCAAAATTGTTATCAAATACATCTTCTGCAAAAGAAAAGATTATGACAGATGGGATATTCACTCTAAAATATATGTCACTCTAAAGATTAATTTATCGCGTTCATCTTTTTATTTTGTTTCGAATACTATTTTTTAAAAGCATTCATAAAAATTTAATGACTAACTATTAAAATTATTGCACAAGAAAATAATTGAAACCTAACTTTCATCGGTATAAAAAATGGCACCTTCCTTTAAAAAGGCCATAATGTACATTGGACTAAAGTATGATATCTCCATATATTCGATTACACATTTCTAGCTCACACTCATCAGATCACGACACCATGAACACTACCTTCCTAATCTGTAAGATCATAAGTATTGCCGAAGGCTCTCCCCACTCATAGACTCCATTTCCTGTAGAATTTCTTGAGCAAGAGATTTAACTGAAAGCTCCACATCCTCAAGAAGTTCACCGAGGAAGGGGATTGTTTCTGCTAATAATACTAAATATTCTTCTTTCAAGTTATCTACAAAATGTTTAATAATTCTCAGACCCAATATTCTAGTTCGTGTCTTCTCGCTACGTGTCTGCATCAAAACCTGCAAAAAAACCCAAAGAATAAAGACAAATATTCAGCTGCCAGAGAATGTGGTGGATAACTTGAAATTGCATGATGAATTTTATAAGATGCTTTATCCTGGTATATTATTATTGGCAATATACACTCAGCACACAAGCATTAATTGAGAGTATACAAGAAATATCAAATGATACCTCGTGGTTCAGAGGTTTCCACAAAAGATCAGAACCAGCTGTGATTGCCATTTGGCCGATGCACACAACAAGTAGGTCATCAAATTCCTTCACACTAGGTATACTCAAGCTTTTGTCATCTAGCGATGCAGGTGGATCTAGTACAAGTTGAGAGACAATAGGTTTTAACAACATCTGCAACATGCATCATAGGAGAGTCAGTGAAGTGATATGACAAGCAAAATCACTGCTCAAGACTTAATGTCTAAAATAAATATTTTACTTGATTATAAAGTACTAGGTAACAATGACTTATAATGTAGATAAGAAAATGAAGATAACATGCAAGTAATGTCGGATACAATGGAAATTTTCACAACCAATCAAGATGCCGAAAAATCCACTTATATTGGAATGTGCCTTTCAAACAATAAGATGAAAAAATATCTGAATAAACTTTTTCATGACAGCCCCATACTGAATAAATAGTGAAAAATATACTAACCTGGAAATTTGAGGACTCAAGAAACTTCAAGTTTCCAGTGTCATAGAGGAAACACTTGTGTAAGGATGACAGGACTAGTGTCCTGAGATGCCATCCCTTGATAGATAAGCTACTTGTTTCTTTTACATCACCATCATCCAAAATTTTAGCCTTCTTTTTCTTCCGACCCAGACTAGACACGTTAGAGTCTCCGCCGTCGCCAAGATGATGAACACAGCTACCAAGTAGGTATTTGAAGTAAGGAACAAACAATGACCTAGAAATAGGAAAAGGATGTCACTTGATAATTATTTCAATAAAAACAAGTCGTAATTTATTATATACAAGTCGTAATTTATTTAAATATGTCATTTGGCAATTTATTATATACACCATATGTCAATTTTCAATATAATATTGTAAACAAATTGCATCTACCTCGCGACACAACTGCAACAAGAATTGACATAATTATGTAGTTCACTTGAATACACTACTTGATAATATCTTCTGCCAATGATGAAAAACTTACCAAAAAAAATCTAGAGATACCTGGACAAAATGTCTTTAACCTTCATAACCCCATAAAGCACCTATTTCAAATATTATCTAAGGAATATGAAGAAATTAGGCAATGACTTACCGATGGTTCTCAGCAAGCTTATTTACCATGCCATAAAAAGATATGGCCCTATCCATGCTTCCTGCCGATGCAGATTCATCCACTATAGATTCTGCCCATTCAATACTCTTCACAAAAAGAGGCTTGAACATGCTCTCGGTAAGTTTTAGGGTCAGCGCAAGTATAGCACTCATCACACCTTTCTCCACTAAATCAATGTTTTGAACTGAACGAGGACTTTGACGGCGAAGATCAAGAGCAACCAAGCAAAAGTCAAAAATCTTTCCATGGAATGCCAGGATAGATGATCTGTCCATTGTACCAATAAATGTTGCCAACATATCAAACACAACTGTTAAGCTTTTATCCCCAGCTTCAACGGCAGCAGGATATAGTTTTAACAACGGCGGCAAGGCAAGCCGTACCTGTAATAAAATTATGTTCAGTTAGAAAAACAGGCACTCATTTCATACTAACACAGCCAAATAATATTTATGTTATAGCAAGCCTTACTGGAATTTTTGCAGCAAGAAGCTTTCGTAATCCATGAGCTCGGGATTCCACTTTGGGATACATTCCTGAGACATATTCGGGATGAAGCACCAGAAGCTCCATGATATTTGTGAGATATGGATTGAGGAATCCACCAAGCTTGTCCACAACTGCCTCCAAAGTAACAAGAACAGAAATAAAATGGGGTTCATTTGAGACTGATAAAACATCATTGGTTTTTGGTTTCAAATCCTGACTAGACAGCACAATACGAGAGGACTTCATCACATTGTCCATAATTTGAGGAAGTTCAGCCAATGCTTTTGGACCAAGAATATTGATCAACGCAGCAGATGTTCTAAGGCAGCTAGAAGTCACAGCCAAGTTATGAGACGTAATACATTTTGTAATAGATCCAAGGCATACACCAAAGATGGAACTATTCGAAGGAAACCTTTCTGCAAGAACTTCCAACGCTGAAACTGCTGCTACTTTCAAAGAGTTATTTGATGAATCATCAAGTACTTGAAGAATTTCTAAACACATTTTATCGAGTGACTCTTGAGAACTTTCATCCATATGAAGAAGCCAAGGAAAACTTGAACTTGACCTTGAACCTTTGTTGTCTTTAGGAGCTAAGCTGACTTTTTCGTGATTTCTTGCAGCATCACATAACAGCCCAAGAGCCTGGAGCACAATTCATGCAGTATCAGATAACATAATAGTTGTCAATGTAGTTGCACTCAATATGTTAACCTAGATGTGTACTGATGACAAACTAACAAAAATATAACTTTAGCTAGATGGAGTAGAACCATGGCAATTGTAAAGCATGTGAATGTGAATAATGATGTGAATAATGAGTCTCTTGTTACAAATCCTTGAATGAAAATACAATATATGTTTAAGGGAATATGCCAAATTCAATGTCCTGATCTCTAAAACGTGGAGAATAAAGACACAAACAAATTATGGTCCACATATTAGATCATAGTCATGCAAGATTCTAACAAAATTTTATTATATTTGAAATAATCTAATAAAAACGCGTACCTTTTTTCCAACATTTTTATCTGAATGGTGGAGCAACTTAGTTATGCTCTTAAAATACACCGAAGGTATCATGACCATTGTTATATTCCTCACAAGAGCACGCATAGTTTCCTTCAACTCTTTCCTCATAATGACTGGGAAATTCAGTTGCTTTTTTCGTGCATCTACAAGATGCAAGAGGAAAACAACATGTTCCATAAGCCCTCCAAGTGCTGTCTGCAATATTGACAGCCCATCACATATAATTTGAATATGAATATGAATCTTTCGCTGGAATAAACAGAACTGTTTAAAAACTAATCAAGGAATAGGACATCAAATAAAAGCATGCAAGGCAAGTGATATCACACTGAGAAACGAAAGAGAGCATCTCAGAATGAAAAATAGTTAAAATACAAAGCAAAATCAAACAGTCTATATACAATGAGAATTTCAGTTCATAATGCTAAGACTGCTTCAGTATTATTATTAGCCGAAGATTTGAACCTCAATATACTGAAGAAATTTCTGATTAAGTGAAAGCTAGCAATTTCACCATGCAATACATCACATTAATTCCTCAACTAAGAAATATAAATTTCTAAACTATGTCAATGAGAGATATGATATTATGTCTGTTACCATTGCTTTACAATGGACATTCGACACTTGTGCTTTCCAAAAATCATTATATAAACTGTCATCAGGACGTTGCCCGATAGAATTGAACAAAGTGAGATATTAAAAGGCATAAACTTTGTTGCATCATTTGTGATATGTATCATACCTGAATGACAACCGTGTCTTCCCCTGATTCTAGTTTGAACAGCAATTCAGGATCTTGCAATTTTTGCAAAGAAAATTGCATTGCCAGAAACAACTCCAGAAACATTGACCGATCAACATTTATATTTCCTCTCTGTTCAAGGATAATAACTAACGATGGAAGCCAAGTCATACTTGTAAACTGCTCACAAATCTGCACTGCTAATTTATATTCCCACTCTTTAGTACAAAATGTTAAAGCATCTGGCGTCTGAATATTTAGGAAATGGCTGGCTTTCCTTGAAACCAGTGAAGAGAACAATAAGATAAGCAATGAAGCCAAGCTTTTACCCTCACCCAAAGTTCTGCAAAACATTCACCGGTATAAGATGCAGATCACAAACCAATGGATAATTACAATATTAGGATCATGATGTAGAAACTACCGTAGGAGATGTAAAACAATGGATAGCCTTCTGTGCTCAACTATTTCAGGAAATATATCTATGAAAACCTGAAGGATGAAAAAAAATATAAGATTGACCTATTAAGAGTTACTTCCCATCATGAGGGAGAGGGAGAGATATGAAGGCCCAAAAGTATTGTCATGAAATACCAACCTTCAGTAATTTCTCCACATCATCTGTCTTAGACAGCCAACAAGGAACGATTGCAGATATAAGATCCTCAAAAACATGCTTCGAATGACTGTCAATCTACATAGAAACGGTGAGGCGTGGTTAATTGAAATATTGGACCCATACCCTCAAAATTTGCAAGAAAAAGATTACAATAGTTGGAAGATTTAAATTATTTAATACAGATTTAATCATGAAAATCGAGGATTGAAGAAAAGAAACAGGGACCCAAATGAGAGGGAGAAAGACAGCATTTACAGACCTGTGTAACAGCTGATTCACCAATAACCGGAAGAATATCAAGTATATGCCCGAAGACTTTTTCTGGCAAGACTTTAATAACAGCAGAAAGCAGAGTAAATATATGGTTGCGGGTGACTAAAACATTGGTAGTCCGGGCACACTCTATCAGTAGCTTAATGTTAATCTCATCCGTCATTCTTTCCTGTCATGAGTAATGAAAATTAATAAAAGGAAGCAGAAAAATTAGCGATGAGGTAGTTTAAATTTTCTATTATCATATAAATATTCCAGATTCACCGTAAGAAAGCATACATTTAGCGCAGCTACGCTTTCAAGAGACATGATTATATCCTCCAGGATAATCAATAGAGTCTGTTGAATGTGATTCAAGGATTCAGAAGGACTTAATGATGGTTGGCTTGATCCTTCCTCAAAGGAAAGAGTGTCATTTACCCATTCTTCTGAAAATACCTTGCTAAGAAGTTTAAATAAGGGGTCTAAAAGAAAATGCCTGCAAGAATCAAACTACAAATTTAGTACAATGAAATGATTTGACAAACTTTCCAGTCATGGTACTAAGACAATAATAAAATCACCTGTTTAATATGTCTTTCTTCAGTAACAAAACGTCAAGAAGGGAACTAAGAAGGTAGACTGGATCACCTATTCTGCACATGTCATTAGTGGGAAGTTCTGCTTCTTGATTTGTAGTAAATTTCTGTCTCTTTTTTGTCTTTTCATCTGCTGACCTAACTGTGCCACATTTTGGTGCAAGTATGAGATCGAGTATGTGGCAAACAGTTAAGAAATTTATCTGCAATTCCATAGAAACCACAAATTATTTTCAGTTTAATTTTTCCCTTTTTTGAAATGGAAGCTGGAGAAAAAACACCTAGCCACCTACTGCAATGAACAGAAACACAGTACCAAAAAAAACTATAATGTAAATAACTCATTGACCAAAAATATAATAGCCAAGTGAAATCAAACGCAGAATTTAAATTTAAAATTTACACAAGAAAACATCCATCTTAATATTTCATTAAAAAAAAATAGTTGTCGACATTTGACACAAGGTATGATATAACACTGTTTATCACATTTAAAATATAATATCATTAATTAATTATATAAATTCAACTCATACAACGAAAAACAGGTATTGTACAAAATGAAAACCAATATAATCCCAGGATAGCATGGTTAAATATAAGATCTACCAATTTCAATGGATTTATAGTTCTCAACATAAACATGTCATTGCCAACCAAAGAATAATGGTGTGTCACATTTCATGTAAATATTCAGCTCTTTATCTTACTCATTCTTCAAACAAATAGAGATTTCCTCTTCAAAACATACTCGGAATTCCAAAATCACCATAGTAAATTGATTTATCTATATAGCAGTCCTCAGTACAATTGATGATAATTATTTACTATTGGATAGTCTTGGATGTCTTGGGGTCCTTCCTGAGCAAGCTCTGGATGTGCCATACTTTAAAATGGTTAATAAATGCTTGTTCTACAAATTGAAGGAAAAAGAATGTGGCAATGTGCATTCTTAGTCAGTTGTCACCCTGAGTGAATTGATTGAAGCACCTGTCTATCATTGGCTTATTTAAGGATAGAACTATGTCTTTAGCAGTGTAGTATAAATAGTGTTAAGCTAATTTGGTCAATTCAGAAAAACATTGACAATGTCTTATGTGAGTGTCACATTTTTTAGTGGTAAACAGCTGTGTTTGGTTGTCTCTCTTTTACGTTGCAAGGAACCAGAGAAATACAAAACAGAAACCAAAATGAAAAACAAGCAAAAGAACCTTAATTAAGACAGGACATGTTTGAAGAAAAAATAACCAAAAGCAAGAAACTCACATCTATTCGCATTAAAGCCTCTTTAGTTGCACTTTGTACATCACCGTTAGCACTACGGCACAAAAAAACAAGTGCACAAAATAAATCCTCCTGACATACAAAGAAAAAAAAATAGTTTAGGTCATAGTAGGGACTAGATTGGTGGTAATGATGTTTTTCATTTACCCAATAAAAAATCATCACAATGCATCACACCAAGAAAATGTACATGTCTGCTTATCATGAATGACAACAGACTCTAGAAATAAATAATTGTATTGCTAATAAGACCTTCACTTTATTCTGCAACCCCGTGTAGAATTGACTATTAAGTTTGTTCAAGACAGAGATACAAGGCTCTATATAGGCAGGGTCATCTGAAGTCATGTCATCCAACTGAAAAAGGCAATGACCAAGGTCAGTAAACTCACAATAACAAGCAAGGACAGGACATACAAAAAGCATGTATCTATATTTATCACCTGCAATGTTTTCAGTAAAGGATCTTGAAGATCAACTCCACCGGAGGGAGATGACATAACACAGCTCTACACAACACAGAGAAAGAGAATTAGCTCACCAAACCTCAGATTGAAGGTTTCAACAGCTAAAACTTAATATTAGAATACACACACCTCCAACAAAAGGCACATTATCTGAGTTCTGGTGTTTGAAATTTTCTGGCTAGATTTGCTGCGGTCATCATAGTATTGCTCCATAAAACGAGACAACACGGGTGCAATATTAGGATGCATAATAGCATACCCAACTCCCTTGAGCAAGGAGAGAATCATTAGCTGCCAGAAAAATCAATGTTCAAAAATAAGTTAGTGTCTTACAATATCAGCTTTGCATAACAACCCACACATTACATTGTTAAATCTGGAAATGAAACAAGAAACTTTAATCTATATCGCTATTACCACAATTTTATTTTATTTTTGACACGCCACAATTAAAATCATATGGAGAGAAACAAAGAAGAGAGCTAATGTGAAGACATCAAACCTTCCCGTAGTTGGAGAATTTCAGAGCAGAACCCAAAATGAACTCGAGTATTCTTTCTTTTGTGGGCTGGTCAAACCTATGTCCAGAAATAAAGCAGGAAAAAAACTCGGAAGTAAATACAAATTAATACTCTTTCGGGATGAAAATAATGAACAATCCTGCTAGAAAGACAAAAAAGTACTAATGGGCAACATAGAGAAAGATAGAAAATGACACATCACATAAATCGGCATCAACTAATTTAGAGTCAATCACAATAGAATATCCCTAAAACCTAAGCTATCCCATTTTAGCAATACGAAGCAACAGTTCATATGCTTGTAAAAGGCCAGGCCATTCAATCTATCCCAATATTTTACACATTATATGGAAGTAAGATATAGACGTGATATCCAAATTCCCCTCTACACATTTGAAAGATCTGGAAATTTTCAATAACAGAAGCAGGAAACATGGAAATGGATGTGATAAGCAGCCAAGTCAATGAATATATACCAAATAGTGTGGTGATAAAAGTGGAGCCTTCAAAGGATAATAGATGAAGTAACAGTATATACCTGTTTTCCATGTTTTGAGGTACTAAGATATTATGACAGGATGAACCCAGTGTGGATGCGAACAACGATGGAAGAAACTTCTTATCGGACAATATAAGTGTTTTTTGCTGAACCAACAGCAATAGAAGCTCACCCAGAAAATGGAACCATGTAGCGTTGTTCCCTGTTGTTACAAGTTTAGGTACTTCTATAGGTAAAAATAATTAGGCATAAAGTGTTAAATACAAATAATCTGACAATGAAGTACCGTTTTTCTTGCCAGAACGTTCAATGCGACACCACAAGGCACGCAACTCATCGATACATTTCATGGAAGCAACCCTTACAGTCTGCAAAGAATTTCAAAAGATGCAACTATATCATTTAAGCCGACACATTTCCTCAAATCAAGATAACATCCAACAAAAGATTAAGCAGCATAAGCAATAAAAAACAAAAACAAATAAAAAACAATCTGTCCACAAACATGTTATGCAGCAAACAGATAAGGAAAACATTATACACACAAAATCAGTAGGTAAAGCTGACAGAGTCATACCTGATCATCACCAGCCAATGGAACAAGAATAGAAGGAAATTTGGCCAAAAGTTCAGTTTGCCATTTATCTTGTGACAGACTACATAGAGATGCATAGCACTGAAGACTTTCAACCTGAACTGCAGCAGGAACACCTGTACAACAAAAGATCCAACAAAGAATCAAACTAATATGCACCGCTTGAGAATAAAATGTTAAATATAGACCACCGGCATAAAGATTAAATTTGTAACTGAACAAAAATATCATTTGAATGTATTGACTATACATTATGTGAGATGTTGACATTTAGAAAGGAACTGAATATTCTATCTTAAAAGAATGAATTTCTCAGTACAAGCAACACAGTGTTGTCCATTTAAGATATAGAGTACATCAAGCAACGGGGAAACTGTGGAGTGTACCTTCATCTGTGAAAAACTTAGATAATAGGCGGGCAGGTGATACACTGCACTGTTCAGCTAAGAAATGGAGGTGTTTATGGAATGCATGTTTGAACTTTGAGGAAGCAAAAAATACAAACAGATCCTTTATCTTGCTATCATCCTGCATATTACAAAAGGTTCATTCGTCAAACCAGGCAACCAACAGAGAGCAGTGGGAGGATAATAACACTTGAATAATCGAAGAGGATGTATAGGAAAGAAATTTCTTAATGCTCAAGTTATTTACACTTAGTTGATCCTCTTGTCTATTTAGACACTTTTAGTAATAAACATAAATTACATTTACAAGGAAGTTAATGATATTGCTACTCCCTAAGTGCATTATGATATCACATGACATGACTATGTACATAAATATATTTGCTACAACTCCAATACTAACATTAATTCCAATAGAAGGAAACCTAGTTAATAAGACAAAATTGAATACAGGCTTAAGAAAAATAGAAGGAACTACTAACCAGCTGATTGCCTGAAGATTCTGCTGACATTAGTGCTGATCTCAGCCTCCAAAATATGCAAACCATAACTTTTGCATTTAAAGGTCTGAGGTTGCCATACGAAAGATGAATAAAGAAAGAACTACAGTCCCATTCTAACATTTCAGAATTGAACTGCAAACAATTCCGCAACAAACAAAAAAAGTTAGTAATCACGAGAAAAAACAAGATAAATAAGAGCAAGTGTGGGAGTAAACCCCTCATACCTCATCCAAAAGAACATCACCACCATTCACTAAAGATTCCAACTCAGCCTTCAGAATAGGAAACACGCTTTTAAACAGTGCAGAAAAGCCATCACCTTTGATTGAAAAAGAAAGTCAATATTCATCATTCTCTAACCCAATATTTGAATATTTAGACAAATCTAATAGACAAAAACGGGAACTGCAAGTCTGCAACTTGTGAGAGATAAGATATACTACTCTAAATAAGCACTTCTGAATTGCTTCTAAATATGGCACTCTAATATTTATTTGTGTTGTTAAGTAATATTTTCAGGAAGAAGAAAAACGGGATTCAAAATGACAAAAGGAAAAATAACCTTCTGGTTCTATCAGCAGAAGAGACTGCAATAGAACAAAAAAGAAGAGTGTCTTTGACAATTCTGAATCATTGCAGCTTTCAACAAACCAGGCAATATTATCCTCAGGGTTGACGATGAAATTGCTAGCCAAGTTATTGATAACCTTCAAGCTAATAGAAGAATAACTTCCAAGTACCGGAGTCTGCAATTGAACTTTCTGAATTAGTAAAGTGGAAGGTGATAGACGACTGGTTGTAATTAACTATTTAGAAGTTTGATGAAGCCAAAATATGTCCACGAGAAAACCCCCATGCGCTACACATATTATCAGTAAAACAACAAGATACTCATGTACTAGACTATCCTATTTGGCCATTCCTACAGTCAAAATCAAAAGCTATGTCAAGATAAAAATTTGAACATTCAATTTTTGAAGTTGCTTTTCCAAGTCAATGGGACTTTGTGACTGATTCTATATCCTTAGTTCACCTTGGCCAATTCTATGTCGGATCTTGAGTTTGACAAACTTGCCTTTTCGAACAACACTTTGGTTTTTACCATATAAAAGTATACATTAAAATACAAAAATATTGGCAAAACAAGTCCTATGTAGTTATGTACCGTTTCTTCAGAGCAAGACACAGCAACATTCTGATAAAGTGGCCAGTTAAATTTGTTGACTAGTACAAGAGCTTTTAAATTCAAGCTCTGTGTCTGCAACAAGAAAGATAAGTAATCGTCAGATGATAATCAGCAAGACAATGCAGACATCAGAATGCAACAATGAAGTAAGAATATGCAAAGTCGGGAATATTCTATTTAAAAAAAAAATGTTAATTTTGAAGTCCAGTCCAACCTGTGGCATAGCAAGAAGTAATGGAAAAATCATGGCAGCAATGTTTTTCAAATAATCAGAATTATCATGGAAATATGATATGGCTTTCTTTAAACAGGTGACAGCAACTTCTCCAGTTAGACTAACATTATCGGTTGAACCTGCATAAGAGAATTTGAAAAACAAATCAACAATTGTATGCCGGGCAGGCCCAATACTTAGCCCTAAGCCAAATTCTAAAACGAGGCGCTTTTATACAAAGTAATTACAAAAATTGCAAAATATAATAGTGTTGTAGCAAAAAAGATAAAAGTTTTGCTCCTAATACATGTCAATTTATTAGTAACTTGAGCTTTTTTTAGCAAATATTAATAAATAAATAAATAAACTCAGGCAGAAAGCAAGCCTGAGCTTTACTAGGCGGCCTCCACTGGGCTAGATGAGTTGCCACTCAATGAACTTACTACTAAAAGAAACAAAGGCAAAACTGCTAGTTTAAAGAATTTCAAAACAGACATCTTTTGGAACTAAATGTGAACTCATCCAAAGGTATAATGTAGCTGTAAATTTACTTTCACAGTAAACAAACTATGTACAGTACTTTAGTGAGGACAATTATACACCATCGTCAGTCCCACTAATTTCTCCCCAGCACTGTTTTGACGAGTTAGAGCTCCTCTTGCACTCACTCTTTCTCACCAAGTCTTTCTCTGTTCCATTCTAATGAAGGCCATTTATTCATAGTAAAAATAAAATGCAAGCATATTTGGATAAATAAATAAATAAATAAAACTGGACGATCAGCCATCCATCGAAAATAACTAAACTCAGATTAACTAATCAATCTCGCTGTATAATAGAAAGACAGATTAGCATATTCTGAACAATTAGATAAGCATGATGGAGACTTTAACTCTTATTTAATGCTTCGGAAGGCCAAATCTATGTTCCCTGCACACAAGTTGCCCACACCAATTAACAGTTATCATCCAACAAGACTACATTCAGAGAAAAAGATTCATTTTCCCAGCAGTTGGTCCGAAGTCAATCGGTATGTGTACCATATCATCTCTAATACAAAACGCACGGCTTGACTTATATTATCATTAACCAGTCACCGTGTTTATTTTTGCAACACAGACAAACATGTTTATTAGTGCTTTAATGTAACAATTAGTGCTTTAATGTAACAATTAAACAAGAGAGGATCTGAATTTTATTATTAATATGCCACACTTACCAGACAGCAGCTTGCCAACACATCTTCTTAGCACAGTTTGCAGTGTCTCAATAAGCTTAGAAGCACCTAATACATTTTGCAAGCCATCAACATTTAAAGCTGCTTGAACAACTGTTAGATCTTTATCATCAAGTTGTCTCAAAATGGCCTCTTGAATGTCAACAAGACCCTGATCAACAAAAAATTTAGTGTAGAACTCAAGAGTTAAAAGGTTGAGGACAAGGGATGTGGAAGAATCACTTATGCACTGTATAATTAGGCAAAATTTTATAACACGAGATTTCTCGTACTCATTTATTCTCATATCATGCACTGACGCATACAACTAGCAGCATCAACCCAACACAACTAACACTTTGACCAAATTATAAAGTTTACCCCCATGTCAACTTCAAAGCAGCTCAGAATTTTATATCAAAAAAGACAAATTATAGCCTTATTTGTCATAATCAAGTGAATCTTTTGAAAATAAAATGAAAATCTCAAAATTGTTGTTTCGGTGTTTTTCTCAACAAAATTACTAACTTTAATTATATCAAGAATAATATTACCTTTAAAAAAGTTATATCAGAAATTCAATTTTTTAAACTAGAACAAACGAGTCCATAAACCCCCCTACCTTGTAAACCATCTAATTAGGTCTTCTATCAAAATCAACTAACCCGCACCCACCAATCATGTGTAATATCTATCAATGGCCTTACAACTCCCTCTCTCTCGGCAACAACACATATATTAGATTACAAATATAATCAGTTCAAATCATTTGAAATGGAACTCAACATATAGAAAGACATTTCCAAATAAAACCAATTTGACAACAAATATACAACACAACCTTTTCAGATAAAATATAATCAAAAATAGGCAATAATATTTAATCAATAGGACAAAATTATCAGAGATTTTTGTAAAATATTGGTAATTAACCATATTGAGCAAAAATTTTGAATTTTTCAACTCCAAGGATAAATGCCAAGGATGTCCTTAAACCAATGTCACACATGAAAATATAAATGAAAGATATAGTTTTAGGAGGAGAGGGTAAGAGTAGCAGCAGAGCATAGATACCTCTGAAACAAATGCCTCGTTTTTCAAGATACCAGAAGAATTTATATCACGCAGTGTAGTTCGTCTAACATCAGCCTATACCACATCAAATAAGAATGAAGCTCGTAAATACTAACAGAAAATTGATGACCATCCACACTTCAGGATTATAGACAGTGAAAATCAATAGAAAGTTAATGGGTGGTACTACCTTTGGATGATACAAGGCAAACCAAACTTTAGACTCTGAGACATCAGATGATGAATCCAAATTACCATCCAACATCTTACATAAAATCTTATACAGTGAATCATCTTTCTTTGAATGTGATTTGTTATTCTGTTGAAGTTGAACAAGCTGAGTTCAGACCATTATTTTGTATAATTGCTAACAAAGAAAATCATTAAAAAATTCAGCATACCTGAAGGAAATGATTAACTGCTCCACGGAGTTCAGACGGATACTTTGTATTAACAATTATCAGAATCTTTTTTGCCCATCCAGCTAATTAACATTTGAAAAACAACAAAGTTGTGAGGACAATAAGCTAGGCATCATATCATAATTGAATAATTGACTAGACTGCAACTATTGCATTAGCTAGTTTAGCCATTAAGCCAAGAGCTGAGCCGGGTACAGCTGTAAAAACTAATTTAGTTGTTAGTTACAGCAGTTACAACTATTGGTGATAGAATACAGAAATTAATTTCCATTCATGATAAATTTTCTCACATTCTAGAATTCTCTGAAATCTTAATTCAGAATCACAATACACACCTGACATCAAAGAAATTGAGTCATCAACTTTTTGCGATAGTTTCACACAAGTTGATAGGATTTTAGTGACCATGTGATGAACAGAATCATTTATGGGGACCTTTTCTATCAAGGACAGCAAAGCCTGCTGGTAATATTCATCTTTAGAACTGCGAATGAATAATAATCAGCATAAAAAAGTTTTTGATAGTATAGTATTCATAGATCGCCAGAAAGAAAATCACAGAATTCTCACCTGCAGTCAATTAGGGAGTCCAATAAAACAACAAGAAACGTTTCAATGTTGAACTCCTTAGACAATTCCAATAAAACCCCTGGCAAATCCCTGGAAAAAAAAAGGATTTTATAAATCATGTATATAAATGATTAATATGCAAATGGAAACAGCCAAACCACAGGTATCATCAACAAGTTGAACAGTTTGAGGTAGACAACCTTAGTTCCTTTAAAACCTCCAAGGCCTTTATTGGAAGTATTTCAACATTTTGGGACTAGAAAAATTCAAACACAACAAAGTAAGAATAAAAGTATAACCAAGTTAAAAGTATAGACATAGCACAACAAGAAGAAAATAGGAAGAAAAATTCTGTCACAACATGGTACCTGGACAAGATTGATTAAGGCAATAAGGGACAACCGAAACCAATGAAGATCAGTCAACTCTTTAGCCTCCTCCCGAGCAACCTCGGCAACTGAACGTATCAAACTATTCAAAAGTTTAGGAGCCAATGCAGCTTTATTTCCAAGCAAGCCAACTATCATCAATGAACTGGCCTGCAAAGTACAACAGTGCATCAGAAAGTGCCACAAAAACACAATATAAAAGAAATATATGTGGCATCAAGTACCAATATTTAGAATATAAAAGAAACCATAAGATCTGAAACAGATGATCCTGATTGAATAATGAAGAATACAGAGAACACACTCTTTTTAAACTAGAAATTAGAGGCCAGGTCCTACTCAGTAATCAACTGGCTCAGAAAAGGCTGCTTGTTCTCTCCTCTATTACCTCTTTTATTCCCCTTCTCACAATTCTCTCCCTATAACTTACCCAGTATTTAAATCAATTAAACAGTTGTGCCAAACTACCCCTCCTAGCCTGCCTAAATTAGACCCTCCGAATAGGAAGTTTGCAAACATAAACCGAGTCCTAAAAGTAAGGGCGTAAGGTGATACATATACTATATAATCATATTTTTTAAGTGGTACACAAAACGTATGATGTTCTTTGGGTGACAGAAGTGAAATCTTAAATAGAGATACATTTCCTTAGACGTGTCATTTTGAGAAATAGTTGGCCCGTGATCTTTGTTTGGTGTTCAGTGCATGTTCTTTTGAAGAGAGCTTCCTTCTCAATTACAAACACGGAGAGCGAGTGGAGAGATCTTTAACATCAGTGAATAAGTTTTATTTCTTGTGATTTAAAAATAAAGAATAACAAAGATAAATAATGTAAGAATGACCATGGATTAAATTGTATAGAAAAAATACTCAATAAACAACTATCACTCATTCAGCCTTATCCAAATATGCAGAGGTTTGCAATTATATAACTTTGTTTCATTGTTATTCCGGAGTTTGAGGATTTTAAAAATCATATAATCAACGGAAAAATCATGTAATAAATTGATTGAACAAATCATAGGTTATAACATGAGCTAGTCCAAGCATATTCTAGATTAATAGAAAGTGATAACAGTGAATAGAATTTCTTAACATGAGAGGGAAAATGCAAGAGAATGTATTACTATTTATGATGCATAATAATATATTACTTTTGTGCAAATTCATTTCACATGGTCTGCCCATTTCGGAGCTTGTGTACAGCCAACTAACCTAAAGGTTAGTCACAAAAATTACTAAATGATGCCTAGGTATAATATAATCAGTTTGAATGAATGATAACAATCTAACCTTGTGATCTGAAAACCCCTTAATGCCTGACTGAAGACCAGAGACCACAAAAGGAAGTATTCTCTTGACAATATCATCATCAACCGTCAGGACAGTCCCCAAAAGTTCAATGAAAACAGCAGTACAAAAGCCAATTACATTCTTTGAAGGTTGTAACTTTTTAGATGGAGATGCCTGCAACCAAAAATGTAGTTATCTTATTATTTAACTCTCTTACACAGTTTATCAAATTCCCATCTAAAACACTTCTATTTTACTCACGTAGTTGCATAGAACTTCCAATACACCCTTATCACGAAGGCATTGCTGCACTATAACCATTCTTGGTGGCGGTGCACCAGAGACTTTCACACCCTCCAGAAACCCCCATGTACCATTCCTTTACAGAAATCAATAAAAAAAAATATCAGAAACCATTCCAACTCCAACTAGTAAATCTACATCACAACCAGCCAAACACAGTAGTAACAAGCAATCATATCTTTATAACCTTATATCAAGTATCTGTACTACTCGAACAAATGCATGCGTGTCGTGGTACGGCAATGCGCACAATATCAAATCCTCATTGTTGTACACATTAATCCTGAAGCTCAAAACAAATCAAATCAAAAACCATAAAACATAATCACTTTAAAAAAAATTAAAAATACAAATGATCAACTCACTTGTGTCTCCGTATCAAATACTCGAGCGTTTGAAGTGCAGACGGAAGCATAAAAAATCCAGAAACAAGTTTTAAATACGAATTAATTAACACATTAAGTTGATTATTCTGTTCTATTCCCATTAACTCTCTATCCACCTCTTTACTTCGGTGGCTAAACAAATCATTCTTATAATTCCTAAACCGTTCATCTTTGCTAATAAGAACCTCCAAACCTGTAACAGAACCAAAAACTCAATTCAATACAATTGAAATTCATTCAAGTAAGCTTGTCAAAAAAGAGCAAAAGAATACTGAAGAACAATGAAAAGTGAGGTTACCTTGAAGAGCGATAGTGAAAATGGATTCAATACTAATATCAGCAGCTTCTTTAGGATCGAACAAGATAGAAGGACGAGTGAAAGGTCTTCTGAGAGGCGCGGAATCCACATGTGCAATGGATCTGATAGCTTCTAATTGAGAGGCTATGGAAGTTGCCATTTCTAGGGTTTTGCAACGAACCAGTGATTGAGAGGTTAGGGTTTTGGTTTTGTTGCTTCGTCTTTTTCTTCTTCGTTTTGGTTTTGCAACAAAAATGACGAACAGAGGCAGAGGATGAGAAGAGAACTATAATGTGGCGCAGCAGGGTTTAGGGCTTTGCGTTTCTAACAGTCAACTTTAACGACGTCGTTTTATCTCACAATTAATTTCGACCCCCAAAAAAAAAAATTGGTAAGCGTGGTTAATTTAGGTTTAGGTTGAAAATACCTCAAATTATTAAAAGTGATTATTTTTATAGGAATTGATTTGTTTTCTCAAAAAGAAAAATGATAACAAAAGGCCATCAATATTCCCTTTAATTATTTTGTTCGGTTTCGGAATCAGAATTGGTGTTGCCTGATGACGAGGACTCTAGAATCAATGATGTTAATCTTTAATATGATTGCATGAGTTCTAGTCAAATATTCTTGGATTTATTGTACAAAATGTGTTTTAGGTAAAATTTATCAAAAGAGAAATATTGAAAGCTCTAAAGATTTGACTTATTTTAGTAAAACAGATGCTGAAGAAAATATTAAAATATATGAAGAACAACATGTCAATCAAAATATAATACCGTGAAGACTCAACATATTGGACTGCTGCAGCAGGATTTTAGTATATATGTTCCAAGATTTAAGGAGCGTTTTAGCAATGGATCAAAGAATATTTTAACAAAAATTTTCAAAACTCATGGACATATGAAGATTATAAAAGAAAGGCTTAGACCTAGGGCATTTTAACCACTACTAAAAATAGAATTTTTTTTATTAATAACCATGTATTAAAAAAATATTTCGCAAATAACCGGGTTTCGGAAAAAATTACGCAAATAACCATGTTTGAGATGGCTCCTCAAAGGAGGAGCCATCTCATTTGGCGCATGCTCCTCTTTTTTTAAGGGAGGCGCCATCTCACTTGGCGCCTAAGTGCTTAGGGCAAGCCCTAAGCCAAGTGAGATGGCGCCTATGTAGAAAATTAGGTCAAAAAAAAAATTCTTTCCTGCGCGTTGCGTATTAGACAGAGATAAACAAAATGGATTTTTTATTTTAAAAAAAATAATTACATTCAACTGTTTTACATTTAAAGAACAGTAAAAAAATGGATACAAAAAATACTGGGAAAAAAAAAGATACATCAGTGATCCCCAGGAACCCGGTAATGACCCCCAGTTCCACATCCCCGTCCTCGCCTTTCTCTTGCTGGGTGCCGTCTCGTTTCCTGCTGCGGCAAGGTCGATGGCCCAGCGAAGTCAATGCGATCCGAATCCATAAAATCAGTAAGATCTCCATATCTCGAAGATCCGCTCTGGTACAGTCGGTTACCCATACCCTCGAAGTTTGGTCGTGTTGGCGGTGGGTGGGGTTCCATGGTTGGTCGGTAGCATTGGTCGTCTGAGTATGGGGGGTAGAAAGGAAATGGATCTTGGGGTGTTTGGTATTGTGGATGTTGGGTTGTTTGGTGATATGGTGGTTGATGGTAGGTTTGGTCGGGTTGGTCATAATCTTCTGACATTCCCATATCAGGGCTAAGGCTGGATGTTGAGGGTGCCATATTGGGATATGTGGAAGACTGAAATTGTGTATGGGGTATGTGGGTTTGCTGGTATTGGGGTTGGTATTGTGGTTGGGTTTGAGACATATCCGGGTATTGGTAGTTTGGCGGTGATTGTGGTTGGTAGTACGGCATTTGGTTGTAGTTGTGTTGTGGTGGGGAATGTGGTTGTGTGTTTGTTGGTCTGTTTCTTCTTGGGGGTTGGTTTGAGGTTGATGGATTTTGGGTTTGTTGGTGGGGAATCGAGGGTTGTGCCTATTGTGTGTGTGGGTCAACCAAGTACCTCGGATGAGACACGTGCATATCTGGGTTACTAACTGACCTGTACCACGACATATATTGATCGGTGTGTCGCATGTTACCTTGAGTAAGGAAAACCGGGGATTGCAAGATGTAGCGGTGACGCCTTTGCCACATTTTACACCATTCTGGAGCAAAGTCTTTCCAGTTGGTAAGATTCCACTGGGCGTCGACCCTTTTTAGATGCCAGGGGGACAAATCTGTTGGATCACTTGGTATCTCTTGGATCATTCCGAACTGCATCTTCACACGGTCGTTGTGGTGCATCTCCATAATGTTGAACCGAATGAGTGCAGTCTTTGCAGTCCAAGTTGCTCCATCCTCTGGATTTGGAGAATGGTCCAAACCCAAATATGGTCTCCAGACGAACTGCGATAAAATTTAAATCAGGTAAGCGCAAAAGTAATGTATAAATAATTAAAATGAACAAAAGTTAAAAGCTACGACGTACGTCATCTGGGCCTAAGTGATCCAACAGATTCCGGTAGAGTGCGACATTGAATCTGGGATTCTTGCCGTAATCCATACCCCTCACGCAGTACCTAAAGGAAATGAGAAACATGTTATTTTTAGCATATATTTTGGAAAGAGAAGAATAGTTATAAATGCTATAACTTAATGACTTACTTTGTTGCGTAAGGGGAAACCAAAAGTGTTGTTGTTGATGGGGTTTAAGGACTCCATCCTCCACCAATCCCAGGCTTGTAGTAAAAATGCGCACCCATAAAATGTACATTTTTCCTTGACTGCGTTTTTGCACAAGGAACTGTACAGGTGGGCTAATACTGCAGAACCCCAACTAAATTTTCTAGTTTTATCAAAATTTGTTAGTAAATGTAAGTACATGAAATTTACACTATTTCCCATACTTTCGGGAAATAAAAATGTACCAAAAAGTATCATAATATACGTTCGGGCTTTTACTACTCGGTCATTCTCAGAGGAATTTTCATTTAATTCCATACTTGCATAATGCCGTTTCAGGTTAGTGAGTAGTATTCCCTGCCCTCTTGCTCCACCACCTTCTACCATGTCCCTACCCAACTGTTCTTCACACTGTGAGTTGGGTTGTTGAACCGACCCGTTCACCGCCTTACCGTCGATAGGGAGGCCCAGTAGCATGTACACATCTTCGAGAGTGATGGTACATTCACCTATTGGTAGGTGAAATGTATGGGTCTCCGGTCTCCACCTCTCCAACATTGCAAGAATGAATTTGGAGTCAATGGTGCAGTTGGAGATCTTTATCACGTGTCCAAAACCTGCATATTCCAGATAAGGGACGATAAATGGGTCGGGAGCCAGGTATTTGTGCGAACGGATTCTGAATCTTTGTGTATCCTGAGATCATAATTAAACAAGAGTAAGATTAATTAAGATGAACAACACGTTATTTGAAGTATGAAAAATGTATAACCAAAGAAGAGACTTACAAATGCAGCAATGTTTTCCCTTGTGCCTCTGTGAGTATCTCCCATTGTTAGAAGGGCCATTGTTCAGAACGCTTGAGAGAATGAAAGACTTAGGAAGAAATAGAGAGTATGATAGACTTAAGAAATATTTCGTAGCAGAGAGTGAGAGTTGTGTGGGTGTGAGAGATGTTTCATAAGGTATGTATTTATAGGCAAATAAGTTTGATGTAGTGGTTGCATGCCTGCGATGTGTCGCATTTGCATGCTTAGGGTGTTACACATATGCATGCATGCATTTACAAAAGATGTAAGGTGTCACTCTTGCAGGCTAGGTGGCAGCCCATGCATGTATCACGATTGGACAGTAAGGGAGGCGCCATCTCACTTAGCGAAATAGTACAAAAATGAATGGTGTCGCCACCCCATTTGGCGAATAAGAGGTGTCACGTTTTACAGCATTGGCTCAGGCTACGAGACAGCCTTTGGGATTCCTTTCTTTGTTGCATGCAAGGCCATTGGAGTTGATGGGTGAAGTCTTACACAAAACATTTATGTGTGCAGAATAGGGCCAGGCTAGGTGGCAGCATAAGCCCATGCATGTATCACGATTGGACAGTAAGGGAGGCGCCATCTCACTTGGCGAAATAGTACAAAAATGAATGGTGTCGCCACCCCATTTGGCGAATAAGAGGTGTCACGTTTTACAGCATTGGCTCAGGCTACGTGACAGCCTTTGGGATTCCTTTCTTTGTTGCATGCAAGGCCATTGGAGTTGATGGGTGGAGTCTTACACAAAACATTTATGTGTGCAGAATAGGGCCAGGCTAGGTGGCAGCATAAGCCCATGCATGTATCACGATTGGACAGTAAGGGAGGCGCCATCTCACTTGGCGAAATAGTACAAAAATGAATGGTGTCGCCACCCCATTTGGCGAATAAGAGGTGTCACGTTTTACAGCATTGGCTCAGGCTACGTGACAGCCTTTGGGATTCCTTTCTTTGTTGATGGCCCTTCGTAATAGAGAGGAATGCATAAGGGCCATCAAAAAATTTCACATGCTCAACTCGGTTGATTATAAGGTGGATCGTGTAAACCCGGAAAGGTACAAGATCAAGTGTGTCCACCCTGACTGTATGTTCAAGCTGACCGCTTCATACAGACTAAGGGGTGACTGCTGGGTCATAGGTTCCATGACTACCCATACTTGTGTAAGTTCCACTCAATCACAAGACCACCGAAAACTCAACCATGATCTAATCTGTCAAGAAATCCTACCCCTGGTCAGCAACGACCCTTCTTTGAAGGTGAAAACAATCATCTCCCACATCACCACGGTTTTTAACTACACTCCGTCTTACCGTAAGGCGTGGTTAGCAAAGACTAAGGCGATTGAAAGGGTGTACGGAAACTGGGAGGAGTCATACCGAGAACTTCCCCGCTACCTAAATGCACTCAAGACATATTCTCCAGGTAGTGTTTATGTTCTGGAAACATTGCCAGCGTACGCCCAAGATGGTAGTCTACTACATGGCAACGGAATATTCAGTCGCGTCTTTTGGGCATTTCAACCATGCATCACAGGGTTTGCATCATGCAAACCAATTCTACAAATAGACGGGACTTGGTTGTATGGGAAGTACAAAGGCACGCTTTTGATGGCAGTTGCACAAGATGGCAACAATAACATTTTCCCC